TTTACATAAGGTATTTGTTTTTTCCGATGTCTCCTTCAACACATTGGAGGGGGACTTACTATATATTCTTTTAATTGGAAGTCAAGAAAATGTAAATATTTCTCAGCACGTATAAATAATACCAATAATTTTAAGTTAATCTAATAAAAGATCAACTGAGGCTTAACCTGGTATTGAAAATTCAGTTCTATTCAGATCTGCCATTGATAAAAGGACAGATGTATAAAATATTTGGTAAAGAATAAACTGTTTAGTCAAAAACAATGCAACCAAGTAGCAATCTTGGCCGCAAAAAAAATATTTTAAAGACATTTATAGAGTTAAATTTGAAACATTCTTTGCATAAGTTACTGATAAATATTTTTTCAACATGTTGTCTATATTAAATGTCATCATCCAGGTGTCTTGAATTTCTTAAATCTTTTTCAATTTCCTTTGCAGTTTCTACTGAGTTTGCTCATACTCTTATTTCAGTATCATGTGTGAACGTCACGGGTTTGTTCACTATACCAAAATCTAAATTAATTCTATAAATCAGAAAGTGCAGTTATACCAATACAGATATATCTTTGTCTACCTATTACAACACTTCTAGGCAGGGCATTCATCCCTTATCAGTATACTGTTCTCTGTCATTTACCAGTTTTTGATCCATGTACAGTACATCAAAGTACAGTACTTTGAAAGCATTTCATTCTTTCATTAGAATCCTTTATGAAAATCTGAATATACCATATTATATGCACACTCTGTGTCCATCACAAGTGTTGCTTGTTTAAAAAAATTGGTTAAGCAAGATTTGTCCACATCTATGTTGTCTATAAACCCAAATCCTATTGCACTTTAAAAAAACTTTATTAATATTTTAGTTCAAATTATCGTTTCTATAATGATGCACATAAGCATATAATACAAGTAAGGTCTATTAATTTATAATTATATACATGAATGCAGAAAACAGATATATAACCCTGCAACTCACAACTGACAACCCACTGAAGTTAAGCTGGCGTGAGCCTGGCTAGTACCTACATGGAAGACCTCCTTGGAAAAGCTAAGGCTCCAGCTAGAAGAGGTGTTAGTGGACCAGAAGGGAGCTCTCACCCTGCAGTCCTTGTTGGTCCTGATGCAGTAGTTTAGCAATGTATTCCCCATCATGGGGACTGATGGAGACTTTAATCTTGTAAAAAAAGCACCGTCCTTCGGATGAGATGCAAAATCTAGGTCCTAATTCTCTGTGGTCATTAAACATTTTAGGACATTTCTCTAAAGAGTAGGGACATAACCCCAGCATCCTGGACACATTTTCCCCTGGCCTTTACTAATCACTGCCTCCTAACAATCCCTATGCACGAACTGGATTCATCACTTTGTTCTCCTCCCCTCTGCTAGCTGATGTGTGATAAACGTACTGTGAGCACTTTGGCTGCATCATCCAGGTGGGTTCTGCATATTGCTGGTTGTAGAGGGGAGTCCCCATTACCTGTAAAGTAAAATTAGTAGAATCTGTTTAACTTAAGTGTCTATAGTACCCAATGGGACTTCCACTTATTCTTTACAAATATTGCTTAACACAGAACTTTTTAATCCCTCAGTAAAAACCATATGTTCGATTTCTTCCATGGTGAATTCCAAAGTGAAATTGTCATTTAATATAACAAGTCATTTCCCTGTCATCTTCTTAATGTTTCTCATTATTATCTCACAGTCCCTTTATTTCATTCTTTACTATTCCTTTCTGCGTATAAAGGTGAAAAGAAATGTTTTCTTATTTACATTTAATCTTCTTTGCAAAATCATTTTTTAACTCCCTCTTGGCCTTTACAATGCCAATGTTTACCTTTATTTAATTGAATATACTCTTTTTCCCAAAATCAATCATAATGTTAAATAATTTTATAAAGTCTTTTGTTTCTCCTTATAGTAAGGTTGGGAGATCACCAAAGAAAATTAGTTTCTTGTTGCAGTACTCGGTGTTGGTGGACAGTTGGTGGGACTCTTCTCTATTGGCCAAAACCTCCAGAACAATACCCAAATATAGTGACTGGGTGATATTGTAATTTAGGAGGAACCATCTTTTGGATGGATGGAACTGAAGTCTTGACTACTTTGTCATTAAAGAACACATTACACCGTACTACTACACTTTACCCAGGTGGATGCAGCATAGTGGTAGGTGTACAGAGACCTTCATATATGCAAGTCAGTTTAGAATCCTTTGTTATGAAATGTGCTATATTATTATTATGCAAGTTATTATTATCAAGAACATCAAAAAATAAAAGTACAAAAACAGTGGAACATTTACTGAAACAGTAAAACGTTTACTGTCAGTAGCTAATAATAACTTTAAAGTCTTTGCCAAAGTGGTATGATTGAATGAAACAGCACTGCATTGATTGTTGAAGGGTACAACATACTGAGACTTTTCCATACTGCAGAAAATTACTCATTTTATAGAAGAAACATTTCTTTGTTTTTTTAACTTTTTTTTCTTCATGTCAAATTCTAAACTTAATACCCATTGTGAAGTGCACAGTCTCGGTGCACAGACTCCACTGGCGAACCTGACCAGCTGCAGGAAGCCAATTGTTCAGGTGACTCTTTAAAAACAGGAAGTGGAATCTTCTGGTGTTGATCTAAGAGAG